CAGTTCCACCTTATGATGTCATGTGGTAATGTAGGAAGTACTCCTCTGTGTTTTTAAACTCCACACACCTTCACTGGAATCATTTGGATCACTTCAGCCCTGGACTTGCCAATCTATACTGAACAAAAGATAAAAATCATCTGATAACTTGAAAACTACTGCTTCATGACATCACAAGGTGGAACTGAGAATTTTGAGCTGTGAAGATGGTAAGAGCCTGTTTACACAAGAACGCTTGCAGGTAAAAATGACAAAATTATTTATCAGAAATGCTTTTCGTTTAGACTAGGAGTGTCAAACTCAAATTCACAGAGGGCCAAAATTTAAAACTGGGACTGTGTTGTGGGCCAAACAAATAGTTATAGAAAAATTCCTGCATGTTTTCTCATCTTTCTTATTAAAATAAATGTTTAATAATAGTTTTGCTTAAACACTGAATGATAACAACATTTAAAATAAATAATGTCTCTATAGTCTTATCTGTAGCAGCAGTACATATTTCATATGATCTTGCAAACCAAATCTAATTATATCGTAAGCCAAATTTGGCCTCAGTTTGGCATGTCTGGTTTAGACGGTGACGGCGTTTTTGGGGTTTAAAAAACTCAAAAATCTGAAACCATCCTCCAGAGTGGAAAAGTTGAATACACTCCACCATAGTGTTTCCATCTATACTGCCCAAGACGCAAAACTCTGGTCAGATCTGCTCACGTCGTGTACACGTTTACGTCACATACATCGCCATCTAGCGTCACCACCGAGCCGCCTGGCATGCATACCCAACAGAATTCCACACACTTTTGCGTCACCGTATGCACGCAGACTTCCTCCTGAAAATGCTCGTCTAAACGCAGAATAAAACGTGAAGACGCAATGCCACTATAACATTTTCTGCTCAGATCGTCAATATATAAACGTAGCCTAATACTGAACCTTTTATCAAACCCAAATCTCAAATTTATTCTGTTTTGTTTGGCCTTTGTTATGTAATCCATTATAACACCGTGCTCCTTGGTCCTCTGTCTCCTCTCTAACCTCCTCACGCTCGCTACCCTGTCCTGAACTCCCCTTCTCTTCTGTAGGGTGCGTGCTGGGACTGAGATGGAGCTGTTGTGATTGTGATGTGTTGCCGACAGCACAGAAGCCAGGGCGACACACTTGACATTTCACAGCTCGTCCCTCGGGGAGCACCGCGTCTCTCTCACCTCAGCCTCCCGCTAACAGGGCCTCTGACTTTTACCACTTTAACTCTTTCACGCTCAGCTCACAGAGTAGTTGACAGCTAGCAGTCTGCCGAAAAACTGTCTGAAATGTCTTAATGTTAAAGGGCTCACACTAATTTCTTCAGTGGAACATCAGTGTTTGCATTTTTATTGAACATAGCAGCAAAGAGATAGTAACACCAATTCTATTAGTTTTCTTCTGAATAATCAAGATGGTGGTTAAAATACACTGTGCATCCTGTCCAGTGCCTTTCACAATAAAACACATCCGGTTTACCAAATTAAAACATTTCGGTCACATTTACAATAGTGTATCCTTTTTAGCTGCTTTCAATTCATATTCAAGCCAAATAATAATCCACATTTACAATTACAATAACATATTAAACACAATAAAGTTACAACAACTAGAATCATTTGGGTCATTTCAGTCCTGGAATTGCCACTCTCTACTGAACAAAAGGTAAAAGCTGTTAACTTGAATATTATTGCTTCATGACATCAAAAGGTGGAAGAGAGCATTTTGAGTTTTGGAGATGTAAACAGACTAATAATACTGGATTAATGAAACGTGTGAGTGAAACAAAACACAACTCCAGGTCTGTTTTGATGAGTTAACGTTTTAACATGGCTTATAGTTTGCAGTTTTATGTTGACTGAATTAAAGCAAAATTAGACAAAGTTTTTAGTTAACGCTGGTGGAGGGTTCACCACCTGCTTGTCTCCATGGTGCTGCTATCAATTTGCCTGAAGTGTTTCACATTATAGCATAATTCATTTCAATTCAATTCAGTCAATTTTCATATCAAACATATGAAGAACTGAAATTGTGTTCCTCACTCCCAATCTTATAAATAAATAATAATAATAATACATGGAAAAGTCCAAGTGGTTGTTGAAGAGATGCCGAATCCTGCTTCCTGGCCGCCTGGTGGTCAGAGAGGGGAGAGCGTTCAGCATCCTAACAGCCTGGTGGATGAAACTGTTAGTGATTCTAGTGGTGCAGGAACTGAGGCTCCTGTACCTCCTCTCTGACGGTAGGAGGGTGAATAGATTGTGCGTGGGGTGACTTGCATCACTCACAATTGTGATGACCTTGTGGGTGAGGCAGGTGGTATATACGTCTTGCAGGGAGGGGAGTGTTGCACCAGTGATCTTCTTGGCTGTGTTCAATATGGGCTGCAGGGCATAAAAGAACCTGTATCTGATTTTTATGATCTGTGAACCAGGAAATCTGCCAATTGTTGCATTACTGTCACAGCAAACTCCACTCTGAAAGTTGTAAAAGAAGTATTTATGGTTCTAGGAATCCATTGCCAAGTGAGGAATATGTTTGGGCTGTCGTAAACAGTTTAGAATGAAATAGTCCTGTTTTTAAGCACTTTTCAAGTTTCTATATCTACTGCACACTTTAAACAGAAAAGTTCCCCTGCATGAGTATAAGCCCATAAGTCCAGATGCACGTCCATAGGCGGCGTGCCCTTTGGTGCATATTGATTGTAGAGGCTGTTTGTTGTGTCCAATGATGTGGCGGGCTGCACTCCCACACAGCTGCAGTCCCATTGATTTAAACCGGGCGACTCCACACAGGAGAAGGCCACACGGAGCCCCGCCGAGTCCATTCACAAAGTATTACTGGGCTCATATGCAGAACAAGCCTGGAACATGCTGGAATGTCTGGGCAGAAAATCAAATAAAGCACAAGCAACGATCTGAACAACACAAAGATGAACTGAATTGTGAGGTTCAGAATAGTTTTGTTTTAGCAGCTTAGTAGGTCTAGGTTTTCTGTCTGGTCTCACTGTGATTTTTTTGTAATTTCAAATGAAAAAACTCACTAAGGTCAAACAATTGCGCTTATTACCTTGAGATTTCTCTTTGGAAACTAGCAGCTTTTGTTGTTAGACTCATTTGAACTGCTTCATTTCTCGAGTCCTTTGAATACAAGCACATGCTCACTTCTCTTGATTTTTTTATTTCATCCCTGGCTAAATATGAAATAATATAAAACAGCAGCGTGACGTGCGAGGTGGCGACAGAGAAAAAGCTTTTTGAAAGACACACAGACAGACCAGAGTTTAAGTGCCTCTTACCAAAACACACTTAAGATCATTATATTTAAGATTTTTGCTAAAACATTTACACTCGTTTTCCGAATTTGGACATTTTTTAGGTTGAACATTTTACATCCTGGTTGGAAATCATGTCATCACACTAGGGAATTCACACTGTTACCTGGAAAACTCCTCAAGTGTACACAGAAATTATTATATGACAAATATAAATATAAGAAAACACACTTATTTTGTTGAATTCATGTTATAAGAATAAAAAAATGTGTTTGTTGTGTGTAAATTGTGTTGAACTTTTGTTGAGTAATTTAATCAGTGTTTAAGAACTCTCTACATCCTGTAATTTTCAACATATTTTCCAACTTTTCTTTACAAATTGCTTCTTGATTTGTGTAAAACTATCATTTATATTTATAATAGCGATAACCCCACCAAATTAAGTCAAAATTAAAGACTCAGAAAAATCTGTCACAGGCACTTTAGCTGCACACGGCACGATCTACTCAGACAAGACACAATTTCCACAAGACAAGACGAAATACGAGATATTGGGTTGGCGAGAATGAGAAAAGACGAGGTTTTAGCATCGTTTCTAATACAGGAGTCTCCAACCTGTAGCTCGGGAGCCATCAGTATCTCTCCACCCCTTCCAAGTAGCTCACTGTTTCTGAATTATACGTATTGTGTTGAATAAAGTAAAATTTGATTGAATTAAATGCCTTTTACTATTGTACATGTATCATTTTGATGCCCAACTTTGTGCACTAATAAATGGATAATGGTTTATTTTTTATAGGCAACTATCTTAGGGTGATCAGATTTTCCAAAAAAAAAAAAAAAAAAAAAAACTGAGACACCCTCGGTTTGTGGTAGTTCGTAATAATAAAATTGTAACTTGAGTGTGTAATTCGGGAAAACTTATTCATGACTAACATGAGTCAGTATAGTCACATTGTCTTTGTGTTTTGGTCATATTTTCGGCAGCTTTTCTGTATTTTACTTAAACAGATGATAATTTATGCCTGTCTTTACTGTTAGGAGAAATCAAATTAGTCAAAAATAGGGACAGCTGGGACATTTCTTGCATAAAACAAATCAAATAAATAGGGATGTCTGGTCACCCTAATCTAACTGTACCTCATCTAAGGCTTGCTGAGGCTCTTTTATATACTCAATTTCTTGTGACTGTTAAAACTAGTAGCTCTTTGGCATTTTTGTTTTGTAAAGGTAGCTCTCCGGAGGAAAAAGGTTGGAGACCCCTGTTCTAATATATACATTTCACTATTCAGTTTCTAATTTTGGCCTCACAATTTCATTTTTTCCCCATTCTATTACTGCTTTTTGGAACTGTGAGAGATGTAACTAAACAATATTTGACCGTTTTTTGTTGAATCCAAATATAAACACGTGGCAAAAAATCTCACAAGGTCATTTTTCTCATGTGTGCACGAGATTTTATGGCACGAGATCTTGTACCATCCGTATTTCAGACCACACCGCTCCAAGACCTCCTGTTTTAAGCTCTCGGGGTGGAGTTCACACTGACCCAAGTCCGCCTCTCTCAAAGTGAAAATTCTTTTACATGGACTTAACTTGTGATAGTGTAAAAACGACCTTAATATCAATTCTAACAGAAGAAAAAGCTGTTCAAAAAGCCTTTAACTGGAACCTGTAACTAAAATGTGTGTGTTTTTGTTGTGGACAGAAACTTCTCCAGCTGCAGAACTTCAACACCCTGATGGCGGTGGTGGGAGGACTCAGTAACAGCTCCATCTCCAGGCTCAAAGACACACAGGCTCACGTCAGCGCCGAGACCAACAAGGTGAGAGGAGACATACGGACTTTGGGAAGGCGGTAGTCACAATGGCCACGTTTACATGAGAGCTTTAATTCTGATTATTCCGCTTTTAAAAGACCATGTAAACACTTAATTCCTAATGAAAATGATTATTCGGAATTAAACTTTATTCTGAAGTAAGTGGGTGGTTTATTCCGATTTTAAAGACATATTAATTCATTCCTCATTTATTCTTCTTAAAAATAATTCCGGTCGTTCAGTTCATGCTCGTTGGGTCGCCCTTCTGACGCGATCCAGGCAATCCGGCTCCACCAGTTCTGGTTTCGGACTTTCATCCACTGCTCTTTGGATTTGTGAGCAGGATGCGGGAGTGGGCTGAGGTAGAGCAGCCGTTGACTCAGTTTGTCTTCTTCCTCCCTTCTCCGACGCTCTTCCCTTCTCCTCCTCAGCTGACAGACTTAAAGCGTGATAAGAGAAATCTCCAGCTGCTGCGCAATTATCATCAGAACAACTGCGAAAAAATTTTGTATTATGTTTGTGTTCATGGCGTAACAACAAACTGAGATGACAAAAAAGCCGGTAGCAGCTGAAGTGTGTGTTTTCTTTTGGTCGACGTAAATACGTTCATGTCCAATCAAAACCATTCCCCACCCCCAGACGTTGAGCGGAATTAAATAAATCCGATTTAACGTGTTTTCCATGTAAACCTCAATTCAGAATTATTATTTCCATATAAATTCAAAGGAGAATATTTTAATTCCTATCATGTAAACGTGGCCAATATAAAATGTATTCAAGTGTTCTCATTATTCACACTTTGTACACGGGGTTGAGACAAAGTAAATGATAAACTCAATGTGACTTTAAGACCTAAACTATTTTAAACAGAGCTGTTTTTGTGTGATATTACTGGATCAATTGGCAAGCTGTAAAACATAAATTAAATATTTAGGTCCATTTCCTTCTTTCCTTCACTACTAATTTTCCTTTGTGTTGTTTTTACATGTTTATTTGAGGTGTCTTATACATACTCACATAACTAATATTCATGCTATGCTCACTTTTTTTTCTTTACAGCTCATCTAGGATTCATTAAATCTTAGAAATACCAGTTTTATTTACAAAACTCTTTTACTTATTTACAGTAGGCAAAGTGATCTGATAATAAGGCAAGAGATGAGCTAGAGACACAGTGCATGTTCAGATCCTGTAGTTTGTCATGGACGCTGTTTACCTTCAAAGTTAATTAGCTGAACCAAAAAGGCCAATGACTTCATGTTAAACCATAGTCAGTTTTGTTTACCCTCACAGTGCTATGTAGCGGTCATCATGCTAACACATGTCACTGATCTGTGTACATTCCACTGACAAACACAGAGCAACAACTCCTATGTCAGCGCCTAAGTTATGTAAACTAGAGAATACAGTTACACATTAGAAGTACTGTACTTTTAAGTATGTAGTGTCCAAAGTAATTGTCTTTGTAACTGCATTAATGGGTGATAACTAATTACCAGATAAAATAATTAGTTTTTTATCTTTCAAATCAGCAAAAGTACCCAGAACCAGTGTTATAAACTATTCTCCTCCACAGAGCTCAACAGCACAAAAACAGACTCACGGCTGAACAGTCACAACAACAGTGGGCAAACAGCTGTCCCCTTTACGCAGCAGACTATGGCCAAACAGGATTTACCAAATGCCACAGCATTTAACAAATGCACTGATATCAGAGTATTACCATTACAGAACGTTTTACATAGTGTCGTAGTACTCAAGACCAGTCTTGGTCTTGAGACCGGCCTTGAGACTATCTTGGTCTCGTCTTGGACTCAACTGCGTTTTGACTCGGTCTTGTTTAGGTCTTGAGGTCTGAAGCTCAACAAGTGATAAAATGGAGATCCATTTATTAAAAAAACAAAAAAACATTGATATATATGCACTACCTATCAAAAGTTTTAGAACACCACACTTTTTCCAGTTTTTTACTGTTTACTGTTGACCAAATTCTAAACTTTTGATTCATGAAAGTGCCCACCTTTGTCAGATATAACAGCTGAACACACTCGTGGCTCGTTCTTTTTACAATAGAAATATCAAATATTCTTCAGAAAGTTTATTTATTTGATTGGGACAGAGCATGTTAATGAACAAACATGGCACAACATGAATGTAAACACACCCGACTGTAGCCTAAGGCTAATTTCCTTCCGTTGTCCCAAAGGGCTGGGGTCACAGGGGGTTCTTCCCAAGTCCGTTGCAGAAGTTTCTATAAATGTGTGGCACTTGTAGGTTGCTTCACTCTTCTGTCCAGTTCATCCCAAACCAGCTCGATCTGGTTTAAGTCTGGAGACTGTGCTGGACACTCCATGTTTTCAAGCTTTACCATCTTGTTCTTTTTTCCTGAGGTAGTTTTTGGCAGAGCTTGGACTTGTGTTTTGTGTCTTTTATCTTTTTTTTTTTTTTTTATCTCTGCCTGTTCAATCCTTACCTTTGTACCATTTCAGGCTCTTCATTGGACTTGAAATAAATAACTGGAAAAATTAGGGTGTTCTAAAAATTTTGACCGGTAGTGTATGTATGCCAAAAATACTTGTGAAATACAAATAAATGTTGAAAATTACAAAAATGATCTCAATTTGGTCTCAATGGGCCGTGGTCTCTGTCTTGTCTCAGTCTCGACCCTCAGAGGTCTTGGTCTTGTCCTGGACCCTGTGATCTTGGACAATCTTGGTCTCGATTAGTGCGGTCTTGACTACAACACTAATTTTACAGGTGTAAATCCAGAGGTGAACAGTCAAACAGATAGGAGATACAATATGGCAACTTTTTCTGTTCAGAACTTCCATCACAGCTTGTTACTAAACTAAAAAATTATTTTTTTCCCAGATTTTCAACAGTCTAATCGAGCTGGTCACCTCTTGTGGAAACTACAGCCAGTACCGCAAGCGTTTTTCCGAATGCTCCGGATTCCGTTTTCCGATCCTTGGAGTTCACCTGAAGGACTTGATCGCCGTCCACGTAGCGCTGCCTGATTGGACGGACAAAGAGAAGACGCGAGTGAACTTAGCCAAAACGCAGCAGCTGTACGCCATCTTACAAGAGCTAGCGCTGATCCAAAACTCGCCGCCCAGCATAGACGCCAACACGGACCTGCTAAACCTGCTTACGGTAAGTGGGAAGAGACAAAAAGTTACTGATCATCACAACTACATTTGACGCTATTCTGACAAACTGGCACTTATTTACAACAAATCCTGAATATAGATCCCAACTGATTCACCTACTGTAAGTAAAGAGGGACAAAAAGTAGTGGCAGAAAACTTGCTGAAAAAAACTGTAAGTCTTGTGAAAATAATTTTTTTCAACAATAGTTAAGCTACTTCAGGCATCTACAATATACAGTAAATTCATGCTATTACTATATTGGTTTTAGTAATATGGCATTTTTTCAATATGTGTACACTGTCTGCATATTGTTTGGATAATTCTTTAAAAAGTGTACTTCATAGGAGATAATGGTATAGACCTGTAGGTTTGTGGAACTTCTGGTTCTGACTTTAATGGTTTTCTATGACAAAATGTCTGTGGAAATGTCTTGCGTATTCTCCACCAGCTTCCTAAAATTAAGGTCATGGTATCCTAGAGATGTGTTGCATTTAAAGTGCACAAATCTATCTATCTATCTATGCTAATATCGACATAATGAAATCAATTTCTGAGTTAACAAGTTACTTATGTTTTATTCATGACCATAACATTCCTTTTGCTCAGTAGTTCACTAATGCTAGTCGTTGTTTGCCTTTAAGTCTTTCATACTTTGATAGCTGTGGATAAATTCTTCATGGATGGAATGTTCATCCTTTGTCGATCTTGTTTGGTTGAAGATTTGGTGATGGGCCAGATTTTTGAAGCTGGTCAAGAATAGTCAAGACATTTCTACAGATATTTTGCCACAGAAAACTATTAACCGGACGTTTCACAAACCTACAGCGGGACACTTCTGGCCGTTGTGAAAAAGTTTTATTTAGGAGTGGGGAATATATATTGGCTCCAATGTGGTATTGAAAATTTTGGCCAATATTTATATGAACTTTTAGAGTAGCTGTTAACTTGAAAACTACCTCAACATGACATAGATGTAAACAGACTAATAATAAAGGAATATGTAAATGAAACAAAACACAACTTTGGGCATGTTTTTGATAAGGAAACAACATTCTAACATGGCTAAAACTGCACAAGAGTCAATTTAAAATATACTCGGCTTCGGTACACCATGAGAAAACCGTTGCTTACTCCCAACACACTGGTCTGCATCGATTCTCAACATGAATGCAAAAGGAAAAAAAGTTGGAAAAATGTTGGTTTGCAGATGGGAGCCCTTGAACACCATTTGTGAAGTATCTGAGAGAACATTGATTGGAGTAGGAGGGAGACGTTGGTAGAACAGATTTTGTTATTTGTTTGGCTGTTGGTCAGAAACGCTGAAGAATGACCAGCTGGGAGTGAGGAAATGTGAAAGTAGTCTATTGAAAGATCGATTTACAAGTTTGAGGAGCCAATCCCTAACAAATAATGACAAGGTTCATCATTTGTGAACCTGCCGATCATAAGTTTAGGTGTTTCTTTCAAAAACTGAATCTCCCATAAATTTGTATCCATCTGAAATTAAAACATCGTAAAATTCTGTATTTAATTGCGTAATAGTTTAGAATTATAATCAAAGAAGAGATAGTATCAGTCGAAACAATTGCAAAGTGAGCATCAACGAGTACATGTGGTGTAATATTCCTCAGCCGACTTTTATTTGACATATTTTGAAGGTGAAAAGATGTAAAATTGAGTTCCAGTCGCCACATTTATTTACATGGATAAAAGCCCTGTGAAATCACACTATTCCAGTAACACCTTTGGCACTTCTTGATGAGAACACAGTCGGTGTGGTGCTTATGCTCGGCAGTAAGTTATAGTGTAAAAATTGCGGTTTGTTACAGTCAAAGGTGTGAAGGAGTGGGCGCTGGGAAACCACACAGATATTTTAAGAACAAGAAATGAGTGAGCTGTAATGTAAAATTTACCGACGAGATAATCTTAGATGCAATCAAATTTCTCTAAAGGAGGGTTTAGATGCTGGTGCTGGTTAAAGTTAAAGGTTCTGTATTTCGCAAAATTGAGTCTTGTGAGCTTCAAGCCATGTTGTAATGCTGTTACTTCCTCAAAAACAGACCTAGAGTTTTGTTTTGTTTCATTCACACATGTTTGAATAACACTTAATTATTAGCCTGTCCACATCTCCAAAGTTCAAAATGTTCTGTTTTTGATGAGGTGAATTCTGACCAATCAGATCAGTTCACTACACCATTTCCTGCTTGTTACTAAGATGTGTGTAAAATCCCTCAGTCCTCCAGGTAGAATCCAGGGCAAAGGAGAAATTAAATTTGTCAACTGGACAAAAGTTTATTTGGTTGAATATGTTTCGCTGCTCATCCAAGCTGCTTCTTCAGTTCAGAAGCAGTTGTTACTAAATTAGATCGGATCACTTTGGATCGATTGCTTTCCCTGTCTTGGTGAATGTGTATTATGAATGTGAATGTGGATGAATCATTTAATATGCGGAGGACTCAAATATACATTGAGTAATAATGTGTTTAATGCAGCTTTGTGCACATTTGTGTATGTTTTATAGAAATGAAACTTAAAACTACATGGCAAATTTGCATAAACTATAAGTGTTGAAAAAAAACTGCTCGGTCCTTGTGCACTGATGCGACTCACCTTCTGTCGGACTAAAGGACATGACTCACTTACAGTAGCCGTAATGCTCCGACAGTCCATCAAGCGGTGCGGCTTCGTAGCTTACCAAAGTCGTACTAAAACATTTTGACAGATTTTTGAGCGCTGTGTACCACATAAAATCAGTTTGAACTCAGTAAGCACAACTAGAATTAATACATAAGGTGCACTGGATTATAAGACACTCCCTCAACTTTTGAGAAAATTAAAGGATTTTAAGTGCGCCTTGTAGTCCGAAAAATATGGTAATTAAAATAAAATTTTTGTGTTTAAAAACAACTCTGAAATATTTTACCCTGAAATTTTAACCCTCCAGTTTTTGCTGTGATGGAAAATGGAGATGAGAGAAAGTATTTTGGGGGTACAATGACTGATGTAGTGATTGTAGGATAAGGTATGAACATAAGGTTACTGATAAGATTCCAATCCCGATCAGGGTGTACTGTTGTTGTGTCCTTGGGCAAGACATTTCTCCCACCTCACCTACGTATGAATGTAGTGTAGATTGCCACAGATAAGCAGCCATGTCTCTCAGAATAATTCAACTTAAAAGCAAAATGAATTGTCATAATAATAATAATAATAATAATAATAGAATTAGGTGTTTTATCGCTAAGTAATTTGACATTTCAGGTAGATTAGATTCGAAAAAGGCGTTCAATAATTCAATCCTGCGGCATGTGTCCGTCTGCGATAGTGGCATTCCTTTGTAAAGTGCACTGGAAAAGGGTCAATAGCTAATTATCTCGGGTTCGTCAGTTCGTTTAACGGGGAAGTGGGCCAAAATAAGTCAGCTCCCCCACCACCTGTTTTTCCAATGTGCCAAAGACTCTGAAACTATCAAACTCTCCTCCGCAGCCAAAGTCGATAAAAGTCAGGAAACGCAATTAGGCTGAGACAATGGCAAAGGAAGTCTATTAAGTCTGCTAAAACTGTATATGACTTATGAATTTCATGGGATTCTTGTTTTACTTTCGGAGTTCATGTTTAAAATACATTATATTATAGTACAACATTTTCTTATCTGATGTTATAATGTTGTTTCCTCATCACAAACAGATCCGGAGTTGTGTTTTGTTTCATTCACACATGTTTTACGCACAAATCCTGAATGTTTAGACTGTGCGACTGTGCTCTAGTTTTTGTTTTGTTTTTTTTTCCCTTGTGATGTCATGTGGTAATACAGGATGTGCTCCATTGTGTTTTTAAACTGAATACACCTTCACTAGAGTCACTTGGATAATGTTAGCTCTGGAATTCAAGTCAATATCTACTGAGGTAAAGGTGAAATGTAGCTGATAGCACACAAAAAACAAAAACAAAACACAACTGTAGGCATGTTTTTGATGAGGTAACAATATTATAAAATGTCTTAAGGCTCACAGAAATCAATGGTATGTATTATAGATAAAGAGTTACCAAATTATTACTCAAATTACTTTCAAAAGGTTTCAAAAGTTATACAATATTACAGTGTGATTAACGTTTTTTTCGGACTATAAATCGCTCCGGAGTTTAAGTCACACCAGCCGAAAAGTGTGTAATGAATAAAAAAAATAAAAAACAAAACATATATAAGTTGCACTTTTTGGGGGAAATTTGTTTTATAATATCAGAGACCAGGAACTGATATTTCATCTTAAAAGGCAATAGAACAGAGAACAACAGACTGTTAACACCACGTATGAACAGTTCTTCAAATAATTACAGCATAAACAACACAACAGAACAAGTTTACCAAACTCTCCATCTCACTCCAAATCACTAAATCCATTGAATTCTTCATCCTCGGTTTCACTTCTGGGCAACTCAGTGACCTCCGGAGGTAAACAGAGCGCCGCTTCCTCTTCTGTGTAGCTGTCGTCAGACTCAACATCGGTTCCAGTTAGAATGGGATGGTTTCGGTGTCACTAAAGTCCAGGCTTTGTCGATCCATTCAATGAGGAAAGTTGCATGTTGCATTCTCCTGGTTGTCACAAGTTTCTCGCTTACTCCAAACTTTCTTTCTACTGCAGATTTTGCTACTTGCATCTTATAATCTGCAAAATATGGTTTTCATTTTGGGGGCCTTTGTGTTCAGTCGTCTCAGTTGTCCTTAAAATTTTACATTTTCAGTGGTACAGGAGTAATGGTGCGATCAACTGACGTGATACAGACAGGACAGAGGCTCTTTCTGCAGGAGACATGCACAGTAGAGCCAAGTGGCATTGGTAGAGGAGGAACAGGAGCAGCAGATACTGACACACAAGCCTAAAGCGCCCTCTAGAGGCTGTCAGAGTGAAAATTTTAATATATAATTTGCACCTGAGTATAAGTTGCAGGAAACACCTAAACCATGAAAAAAAGTGCGACTTATAGTCCAAAAAATACGATACTATAAGTTTCACACAGCTCATTTAAATTGTAAATAGACTGGATTACTAAACATTAACTGATCTGAAAGTGTACATTTATAATTTGTCATGCCAAGTAAGCCAAGTAAGCATTTCTGGACATTGAAAACTTGTTATTTATCTTTTTGTTAATGTACCTGTCTGTTTCATTTTAGGTGTCTTTAGACCAGTACCACACAGAGGAGGAGATCTACCAGATGTCTTTACAAAGAGAGCCTCGAAAACCAGCGGTAAAGCACTTCACTCTCACCATTACTCAAGTACAGCATGCACAATCTTCCATTCTTTCCGGCCATAGAGTAACTTGCTTCTCCTATATTGATCTTTGGTGCTTTTATTGTTCATTTTACAGCAGAACTCCAGCCCCACCCCTGCCCCAGAGCCTAAGCCCGCCATGATTGACGACTGGGCTGTGTCGGTCAAACCCAACGCCGACCCGACCATAATCAAGAAGCACATAGAGAAGATGGTGGAGGTATGAGATTTAGTCACCGGTACAAGCGATTGCGTGCACTTCATCACCAGTCAATCAAGTGTTGTCATGGTTGCTATGGTGATACAATCAAGGTTACACATAGTCGTCTCGGTTTACCTGCAGTAGTGACACGTGAATACATCCCACCCAATATCCGTGCATTTCAGAATGATCAAAAACGAGAACGATTACCATAGCAGGGGCTGGTGCTCTCCACACTGTAAAATCTAACACTCGGGTTCACTTGCATTCAGCTTGTTTATTTTACTAACAGCTACAAATTTGTGGATCTCAATGATTGTGGTAAAGTAACAGTTACTTTCAGGGTGACAAAAAAGTACATTACTTGTCAATTAGACTAAGGTCTTGAATGAGACAAGTAACTTCAACAGTGACGTGTCATTGCCAAGAGTCCAGCTCCATTTCCCAGTCCGTTCCGGTCCTCCTTTTGCTACCTCCCTGTTTTTCCTACAGCTGCCACTCATTCCCGAATCATCCCAGGACGTCTCTGTATCCTCCCTCTGTTCATTCAGGGTCTGTTTGCACAAGAACGCTTGCGGGTAAAAATAACAAAATATTTTATCAGAAGTGCCTTTCATTTAGACCGTGATGGCATTTTTGGGGCTTGAAAATGCAAAAATCTGAAACCACCCTCGAGAGTGGAAAAGTTGAATACCCGCCACCGTAGCATTTCAGTCTACACTGCCCAAGACGCAAAACTCTGGTCAGATCTGCTCATGTCGTGTACGCGTTACATCACATATATACAGGGCACAGAAACAAACATATCGGATCATTTCCATGTGTCGGACCTTCAAGCTATTCTGGCTGCTCTAATAAACTTACAGGAGGATCTGCAATCACCTCTGTCAAAGTCTGGATGCACCTAGTTGGTTGCAGGCAAGTCAGACGGCATGCATACCCAATTGAATTCCACACACTTTTGCATCACCATATGCACGCAGAGGTCCTCCTGAAAATGCTCGTCTGAACGCGGAATAAAAAGTGAAGACGCGATGCCACTTTTGCGTCTTATGTTCAGACGGTCATGATATAAACGTAGCCTTAGTCTGTATATCCTCCTTCTGTTCATTCGGTCTGTGCTACATTAGTCTTGTACTCCTGTTTTGTTTCTTCCAGCATTTTTAAGCTCTAAGTGCAGAGGCCTTGGTTGAGTTGAAATGGAATGACCAAACTTTATTATTTTGTTGTTACAATGTGTTTTGAACTAAGGCTGAAGAAAAGTTTTGCTATGTCTTTTTTCAAAAACTAAACAATATTCAAATCTTTGTGTACCTGATGCAGATCTAAATGGCATTGTAGATAAGAGCTTGTTTTTGCTCTAACTTGTCTATATAAGTAACATTTACTTACTCAATTCAATGCGATCGGTCTCCGTGGTTTTACCAACTAAAATGAACTTACTCTTAAAGTAAAGGTTAGTACATACAGTATTTCAGATTTGAGGAACTGACTGATTAGTTAGCACAGCTTCACAACATGAATTGAATTCTATGAATGAAAACTAAAGTTCACTTGCTCTGCCTAGTTAGATGAAAGAGGAATTTACTGTAAACTACACTGAGGAATCACTTTTAACTCAGCTTTAGATACACAGTCCACTTTAGTCAGATTTTTCAAGTCAGTCGGCTTCCTAGATTTTTTCAAGTAAATTCTACTGATTAGATTTTGCAGTGTACCGAGAAAAAAGGCACTTTTCCATAGCTTTTAAAATGAACGTATCCACATTTTTCTTAAGTAAGCAACATTTTGCCTCTTTAGATATCAGGCTTTTATGTGTGCACCTGCTGAGAGAGCAGTAGGAAAGCTTTGTGCATTGGTGTAAATGAGCTGAGGGATCTGGGACCGGTAAAAATATAACAAAAACGAGAGTGGCAGCAAATATTCTTTGTTGAGTTTTCAAACTTTTACACAGCTGCTGTCTTCATAGGATAAATATGAAACCTAAAAAAATATGCTGAACACAAGAATACTTAAAGCGCACTTAAGGCAAAGAGGCAGGAGCTTGAGCACCACCTGAGCTCTGTCAGAGAAGAGCACAGAAACGTCAAATAACAAATGCAAACAAAAGAGTTAGGGAACAAAACGAGCTCATAACTACAACTACTAGCATTGATTTAATATTGGGATAAATGAAAATACTAAGTAGAGACACTTATTACCATCTTCTGTGCAAATGCTATCGTCAGAACTTCTCAAAATCCCTAGACTACCTCTGAAGTAGTCTATAATAATTATTCTAACAAAATATTCTCTGAACATCTTTCCAGTCCGTCTTCAAGAACTTCGACACAGACGGCGACGGCAACATTTCCAGAGACGAGTTTGAGGCGATCCAGAACAACTTCCCTTACCTCAGCAAGTTCGGAGAGCTGGACAAGAACCAGTGAGACACATATAGATTTTATTATTTACACTTAAATCTAACAGACAGATATTTATCGCCTCGTAAACCTTTTTTTTTTTTTTCTGTCACAGGGACGGTAAGATCAGCAGAGAGGAGATGATAGACTACTTCATGAAGGCCAGCTCCCTGCTCAACTGTAAGATGGGCTTCATACACTCGTTTACGGAGGCCACATATGTGAAACCTACATTCTGCGAGCACTGCGCCGGATTTGTAAGTTAACACACAATCCAATAAACGTAATGTGTGTTTTACCAGTATGAGCAAGTGAGAATCAGTAGAATTGAATGGGTAAACTTTGGCGCTTTGACTCCAGCAGGTTAAAATGACCTATATACGGCACAAGATTGACTTTTGTGAGCTTTTAGTTCTGTTAGATTATTGTTTGCTTAATTATTACCATATTTTTTGGACTACAAGGTGCACTGGATTATAAAACGCATTAAGTGAAAGAAATGGACGACACTTGAGACTGATCCCTTAGTCCAGACGTCCATGATCCATTGGCAGATCGTGACGTAAATCACCCGGTATTGCCTCCCTGTCTTGGTTAATTTGTATTATGAATATAAATGTGGGTGGATCATTTTAGTTTTTAAAAATTTTCTACGAGGAGGACTCAAGTATACATTGAGTAATAATGGGTTTAATTCAGCTTTGCGCACATTTGTTTACGTTTTACAAATACGGAACTTAAAACTACATGGCTCATTTGCATAAACTGTACTGTACTGTGTTGTGTGCTGATGTGGTCAGCTTCTGTGGGACTCGGCTTCTGACTGCGGTAGCCATAATGCTCTGACAATCCATCAAGCGGTGCGGCTTCGTAGCTTACCACAGTCGTAGTAAAACATTATGACAGATTTTTGAGTACCGTGTACCACATGAAGTTGGTTCGAGGTCAGTAAGCACAACCAGAATTAATACATAAAGCGCACTGGATTATAAGCCACACTACTGTTTTTTTGAGAAAATTAAAGTATTTTAACTGCACCTTATAGTCCAAAAAATACAGTCAGTCAGTTTACATCTAGAAAACTCAAATTACTCTGTTCTAAGCGTTTTCCAGAGCTAGATTTTACCTTTAGTTCTGTCAAGATTGGGATTGCATTTCCTAGGTTAAATTTATCCAACAAATTCTAGTGAAGGTTTATGGAGTTGTAAAAAAAAAAACAGCTCCAGGTCTGTTTCTGACGAGCAAACAACATTATAACATAGATCAGAAAACAGTCAAACCTTTACGAGGTCTAAGAAGAGTATGAAGAGAAGAGAAAATGGTTGTAGCTGGAATAGAAAGGAGAGAGTGTATTCATAAAAGCAGAAGGGCATGATTGATTTTCAGCTACAGATTCACAATGTATATAATTGTTAGGTCAAGATTTACAGTATTGTAGTTTTGTTTGTGGAACAGCACTCAACTGCCAGCTCAGCCCTTGAGGTATAATAGTCTTGACTCTCTACAGTGGATGCACAGCCAGACTGAACTATACTAGTATGAAAATTTAATATTAGTCAATACTAAAACTAGTATTGAAACTATATACTCATTTGAACAAGTACTGGCACACACACATACACAAAAACTAAAACAAAACAAACAAAAAAAAATCGTATAATCACATAACAACAAATAAAACTGACTATTTTAGAAACTATTTTAGATCTTCTACCAAAGGAGAACATGGTAATATTGTCACATTTAGAGCAGAAGTAGGACCCAAAATGCAGGACTTGTTTTCTTAAATTCTTTAATAAAACAAAGAATGACCAAACACAAAAATCCAAACAGACGTGGCTCAGATAACGAACCAACAAAGGGCAGAGGAGAACACAGTGGATATATACACACAGATCAATACAGCAGGAAGTAAAACTCAAAAACACACACAGCTAGAGAAATAACAAAACTAAACCGGGAGAAGAAAAGAAAATAAACACCATGACAAATATAGAAAAAGTACTATTATTCTGTTGAAAGTTGAAAGCTTTTTATCATTGTGGTGTTGAAATCTGTATTGAGTATCAAGTCTATTCCTTAGTATCGAAATCAGGTTTGAAATCTTAGTATCATGACAACATTACTCCACTCTGTAGTTAGCAGTGGCTCTTCCATTTACAGTATGAGGTCTCCAGTGCTCGTGTTATTGATCCATTGTGATTATCTTAACACAAAAGGGGAGAAAACGCGTGTTGCTTTTTCGAGGCCCCCCCAAACGTCACCCTGGCAACCCAACGTTTTAACCGATGAGCCTGCGATGTCTGTACGATCGCCTCGTATTGATCCACGTTTTATTTACTCGTATGGATTCCACAGGTTCACTCGATCATGAACTTCTATAAAACCTTTTGTCCACTCGCTCCCACCTTTCCCATTCCATCCCTCGATCTATTCTATTTGTTTGGCTCTCTCTCCGTCTCGTCATCGCCAATTATCCTGAGTTACGGCCCCTGGTGCATTCTGGGAAATATGGTGAGAGGTAATTGGGCGAGATGATAGGTCTGGGGTGTTATGTAGTGTTATGTGCGTCTCCGAGAGGGTCTGTGTTAAATTCAGTGTGATACAAAGAATAAAATTGTCGTATTCCTTTTTATAACATTTTTGTCATATTTTTAAGACATCAGAAGGAATTCATGTGTCGCTCTTTAGTTCATTTTGGATTAATTATTGAATAGAAGCCGTTTTCTGAGCTATTTTTAACTAATGAATCATCTCGCTCTTCCATAAACTTGGATTAATCAGTCCATTCATTCATTTGAACAATACCAACTATTACTTAAATGGCTCATATTACGCTGTTTCATTCTTAATTGAAATTCAAAAGAATTAATGGTACACAAGCCATTGTAACATGGCTTAAAGCTCTAAAGAATACATTTTGCATAGTATAAGACTTTCATTGACGTGTTTTGGGTGAAAGGCACTGGTTGTTTGTCTGTTCTTCACGCGTTGAGTTTGATTGCAGTTGATATAATCCCCAGTTGTTAGAGAAGGCTTCAAACTTAGTCACCTGGACAAAGTTTGAAATCAAGACATTTTGATTGCTATCTGGAATAAGGTGACCAGACGTCCCTTTTTACCCGGGACAGTCCCAGTTTTGAGCCTTGTGTCCCCTGCCTCAGCAGATTTATCCCAGTTTTATATATAAGAAATGTCCCTGTTTTTGACCAATCTGATCCCTGCCAACAGTAAACAGAGGCATAAATTGTCATTTCTTCTTGTAAAATACAGAAAAGCATCTTAAAAATGACCAAATACAGAGAAAATGTGATTATACTGACACATGTTAGTCATGACAAGTCGGCCAAGTGCAGAACAGTTTTCCTTAATTATGCACTCGTTTCACAATTTAATTATTACCAACCACCACAAACAGAGAGCGTCCAAGTTTTTGATTCTGAAAATCTGGTCAACCAATCTAATCTGGAAGCCATTTTCAATCTGGAGGGACTGGCCTGAGTAGAAAAAAATACAAAATGGATTTAAACAATACATTTTCATAAGCCTGTGATCAATACGAGTGTTCATGGTCCAGTTTAGGTGTTTGATTTTCAACATAAATGGTGCATGTGAGTAACTGAAAAATTTTGTGACTGTAGTATTGAGAGCTCGCCTCTTGTAGATCCAGCTAAATCAGTTCTTTATGGTCAGATTCCATTAAAATAAAGCTCAGATTAAAGTCTAACAAAGCCACAGACAGAGCAGAGCCTTGTCATGGAAATGATCTGTAACATAATACCCAAACATACCAGAAGACTGTCTATGTTGGTTTATTACATTTGCACTGGTAACAAACTGTCCCACTACTGATGGACAGAGTTTCTGCTGCAGTGAGCCCAGAGCAATGGGGTAACAACACCTAAATCCTGTCCAAGCCCTTCCCAAGAACAGTTTGCATTTAGGTCAGTCTGATCATTTGGCTTTCATAGCTCAGAAATGTAACATCTTTACATTAACATCTGAGTACAGGTCAAGATGATCAAACACTTAACACGAAATAAACAACAGAATAACATGTACATGGAAAACCAAAAGGTACCTATAGGCTTCCTTCAAGAGAAAGGATTAGACAAAGAATAGTGTGGTTTTTAGGGATGGCCATGATTAGTCGACTAATCAGTATTTGATCATTAAGAATTTTGTCGATCATTTTTATTTTTAATTGAGGTTGTTGTGCGTAGTGTAAGGAGACGAGGCAGTGTCTGACACAAATACTGGACTTGTGGCCTCACAGTCCCACTTTTGGGCTCTGGCTCCTTGGAGACACTGTACCACTCAGTGAGAGTGTTTACAGCACATCAGTGTCCCGGGTTTGATCGGGTTTCTAACTGTCGGTTTTGTCATTGTGCACGTAAATGCAGTATCTGGGTGACTGCAACATAAAGTTGAGTGCACATGCATCCAAAAGACAAACACTTTTCAGTCTTTTCATCACAACAGAAGCTAAAATAAATAAAGTGATCAACATAAATAAAGTGAGTGTCCTTTAGAGAGTCGTGTCCTTTAGTCCGACAGAAGCTGAAACATAAACAAATGTGTCAAAACTGCATTAAACACATTATATTCTCAAACGGGCTGATGTGGCTCTATAGTGGTTATGGTTTATATGTTGTAAAGTTGAGTTTATTTATTTAGATTAGTAATAGTAATAATGATGATAATTTTAATATAATAATGTTAATGATTAATCGAAAATCAATTGTTAATTCTCCTGACAATAACATTTTTATCGAATGCCCATCCCTAGTGGCTTTAAACACTTCTTACAGTAAACAAAACCAAAAGAGCAACACCCAATGCTCCGATTTCCACCGGGGATTAAATTGTTGGTGGTCTTATCTTTGCGATTGCCCTAGTTCTTTATACTCTCTATTAGAACATGAAAGCCATATACTAATTCAATTGTCCACCTCCCTGTTCCCAGCCAGTCTGCTAATTCGCTGTTATAAGTAGCTGTGATAATCTGTGTTGACACACGGCTCTGCTCTTTCAAAATGTGCTTAGACTGAAGTCGTAGAACACATCCATGCCTCACTTGTTTACAGGCTGTACAAAACACTAAATCATAATTGCGATCTCTGGGTTTGTGGCTAATCAAAATGGCGAAATTAATTTGAAGAAACAGCAAAGCTTTATTATTATTGTGATGAAGCAGACGGAGGTGATTGCCCAATGTTGACTCAGAGGCGTAAGTGCTGAAATTGAAGTGCCGTGA